TATATATATATATATATATATATATAATTTTTTTTTCTTTTTTAATAAAATGTCCCTATACCTGACAGATATCACTGAAATAGGTGTCCTGAGAAATCGCTGTGACAGTCCTCGGCTCTGTAAACAACAAAATTGTCAGGAGAGAGGCAAATGCACATTCAGGTTATTGGCATGGGTTTGGTGGACTGATTAGAGGTTTGGGTTTTGTAGAAAGAGCAAGTGGTTGAACTAAAATCTCCTACAGAATATTTAGGTCCTGTAAAGTCCTGATAAGTCCTGAAAAGGAACACTAGTTTAAGCTCTGATCTTGCTATTCATACTTTGTAACTTTGAGCAGCTGCATTCATGAACTTTTTATTGGATGCAACCTGCTTTGTGGAGACAAAAGGCCAGGCAAAGCAATGAGATGTTAGGCTGACAGATACTCGGGACTAATCCTTATATCTGCTTTCAAACATCAGCACGCTCTCATGACCAGACAGACAGACATACAGTATATTCACAATAATGTCTTCCGCTGAGGCTGAAAATGTCATGGCTTTGCTAGGCAATGTTACAGAAAAGTATATAGAAATCATATCAGAGAGAGATCAACATTAAAACAGAATCAAGGAAGAGTCCACCCAAAATAATATTTTCTTAAGAACATCTCTTTTTTTTTTTAAGAAGAAAATTAAAGGCTTTGCTATTATCTGATTGTAGGCCAGTTTTTTTTTTTTTTTTGTGAAGAGTTGCATATCATTTTAATGAAAAACACCTGAAAGGTCATCTGTTGCACTGTCTGAAAACCATAATAATCATCATAAGCATGCACACTGTTTTTGTTGTGAATGGTTTGCCGTGAGTTCAGCACTTGTGTTTTTTTAATGCGCCATTTATTTTAAATAGTTATTTTTAAAGAGACATCTCTAGGTAGAGCGGCGTGTTGCATTCATTTGCATTCTGCAAATGTTGCATTCAGTTTCATTCATTCTCTGTCTTTCTCGTGCTCTTTATAGAGTAAATGTGTCCTGTAGCACAGTGTGTGCACTATTAGAGTGACTGTGTCCTGGTTGTGGGTGCTCTCATATGCCCTGAATGCTGCTGAAAATGATACATTACAATTTCCTAAATTAAAAATGAGGTACCCATTGGAGTTATTTTTGTACATTTGTTTTGAATTCAGCAAAACATAACATCATGCATAATCATGACCTATCAAACATTTTCATGAATATAGCATAGTCCCTAGTAATTGCAATGTGTATTTTTATATAGTTAGTGTTTTACTGTATGCTTAATATTGTAAATAAACCAGTAAATTCAGTAAAAATCTTACTTTTGGGGATTTTAGTCAAGTTATCCTAACTTTAAGAGGTTATTTATGGAGATTTTGAAAATAAATGGATCTCATTCAATAATGGTGCATGCACACAAATCTACCTACAAATGTTTTCAGGAGCAAAACATGTTTCATCAATAACTTTCAAACTAAATTAATTCTAAATGTATGAAAAATGCATAAAAATATGCATATGTACAGCTGACTAATAAGATGCCTGTGTAACCTTGGTCTGTTTTTAAAGGTGTTTATTGTGTTTGAGCTGGTTTT